GAGAAACCCTGTGAGGAGTGAGCCTGCTTGTTGTGAGGCCCACCTTTGAATAAGACTGACTAGCAGAAATACCTACTGTGTTTTATTTAATGGAGTGGTGTTTATTTGGGACAAGGAATAGAAAAAAACTTCTACCCGGAGCAAAACAGCTCATTAGTTACATGAGAGAAAGTTCCAGTTGCTACTTTAAAACCGGGCTTCGCAGTCTGTCTCTTCTTTAAACTAGAAACTCATTACGGGCTGGCAGCTTGAAGATGGGGATAGTTTGTGTTTTCATAAGTCAGGAAGGCGTGGGGCTTTATAAAGTATTTTATTGTAAAAATAGAAGTGACACGACACTTTCTCATTTAAAATATATCATACACCTCCTACAAACTTGCTTTCCTGCGGAGACAAGGCTCTGTAGTGGGCAGGTAGCCTCGAGTTATTTTAAGAGCATCCCTGTCTCATCTCCTAGCCCTGCACAGTGCGCACACTAAGCTTAAACGGCTGCCGGCTCCTCGTTCGCTGTCATCACCTCAAACCCTCGGTAGGTTCTCACCTGGGCTGTGCACTGAGTTCCTCAGACAACCTTATTGTGTCTTGTTTTCCTCAAAAAAATATTTGCTAAGTAAGTGTCTAATAAATTGAGTGAGGGGCCCCTATAAATATTTTCTGGTAGCAAAAATAAATAAAGTTCCAGGGCAGCTTGCTATTTTAAGGAGCCTATTGTGAATCTGGCTTTGCAAAAAGCACTCGTTTTCCAGTTAAATGACAGGTAACTGGTAAATAATGTCACAAGAGCTTGATCACCTGTGCTTCCTTCTTTTTATTCACGTAGTTCAACATTAATCCTTAAAATATTAGGCCTCAAGTACCTTTCCTAGGTCTGGCAGCACAATTATCTTGGGGCCCCAAGAATCCAGTAAGGATGGACTAACATTCCCTCTGCAGGGAATTGAGTCCCAGATTCCTTATTTCACTCACAGGTCATTTGCTCATGTCTGTCATCATCTTCAGCCAGACCCGCTCTTCCAGGCGCACGGGAAGCACCAGCCACTGTGTTGGTGCTCAGACACCGGCCCGTCTCCCTCACTTCCGCCACACAGGTCTGCTGGCTTCGGCTTCCAGGCAGCTCCGATGCCTCTCAGGAGTGCATAGGTCCCCCTGCTGAATGGAAGAAAGTTAAGAAGTATTTGAAATTCAGCTTCAACTCTGTGTAAATATAACTAAGCTCTGTCAACATTTATATAACTTTTTCAGTTTTTCAGAAGCAATTTTAAATTGAGGGCTAGGAACCTTCTCTTATTTATCTTTATACCCACTTGGGACCACCCCGGGGTATTCAGAAATAATGACTGACTGGTTGGACTCTCCATATGCAGCCCTTACTGATCTGCACTGTGCTGTGAATTGTAGTGAAGACGGCCGGGTAGAGAAGAAGGTAGAGATTCTACTTATTTTGTGGAAAGTTTTTTTTTCTGGAGCCATCTGCCTCTCCCTCCTGCTTCTGTAGGGACAATCAAAAGAGGACCAGTATATAAAAATGCTTCGAAACTGACAGAGCTCCATACACAATAGTTTTAGGGTGACAGTGTACTGCTATTTGGGACTGAAAAGAATAAAACTTTATCAGCCTTGGCCACTCAGCTTGAGTGGATGGACACGTTGGGGTGGCCTCCGAGGAAACAGAGGTAAATGGGTTATTTTGTTAGTGTTGGCACCTTCTGATTTAAATAGCAAATGATTATTCTAGATGGCGAGAATCTGCATTGCTGAGATGCTGGTATTGATGGGAACAACTGGACAGTAGTCTATTTTGTCTGATACCAGTACTGTTACACCTGCTTTTTTATCCATTCTGTTACTCTGTGTGTGTCTTTTGATTGGTGCATTCAGTCCGTTTACATTTAGGGTGATTATTGAGAGAGATGTACTTATTGCCATTGCAGGCTTTAGATTTGTGGTTACTAAAGGTTCAAGGTTAGCTTCTTTACTGTCTAACTTAACTCGCTTATTAAGTTATTATAAGCACAGTCTGATGATTCTTTATTTCTCTCCCTTCTTATTCCTTCTCCTCCATTCTCTGTATGTTAGGTGTATTTTTTTTTTGGTGTGTGTGTGTGCTCTTTTGTGGGTAGTTGATTTTATTTTTTGCCTTTAGTATTTGGTTGGTGTTGGTCTGCTTTCTTTGCTGTGATTCTATTTTCTCTGGTGACATCTGTTTCGCCTTAGGAGTGCTTCCATCTAGAGCGGTCCCTCTAAAATACCCTGTAGAGGTGGTTTGTGGGAGGCAAATTCCCTCAACTTTTGCCTGTCTAGGAATTGTTTAATCCCTCCTTCATATTTAAATGATAATCATGCTGGATACAGTATCCTTGGTTCAAGGCCCTTCTGTTTCATCGCATTAAATATATCATGCCATTCTCTCCTGGCCTGTAAGGTTCCTGTTGAGAAGTCTGATGATAGCCTGATGGGTTTTCCTTTGTAGGTGACCTTAATACTCTATCCTTGTCCTTGATCTTTGCCATTTTAATTATTATGTGTCTTGGGGTTGTCCTTCTTGGGTCCCTTGTGTTGGGAGATCTGTGGGCTTCCCTGGTCTGAAAGACTATTTTCTCCCCCAGTTTGGGAAAGTTTTCAGCAATTATTTCTTCAAAGACACTTTCTATCCCTTTTCTCTCTTCTTCTGGTACCCCTATAAGGCAAATGTTGTTCCATTTGGATTGGTCACACAGTTTTCTTTATCTTTCATTCCTGGAGATCCTTTTCTCTCTCTCTGCCTCACCTTCTCTGTGTTCCTGTTCTCTGATTTCTATTTCATTAACAGCCTCTTGCACCTCATCCAGTCTGCTCTTAAGTCTTCCAGAGATTGTTTTATTTCTGTATTCTCCCTCCCAACTTTATCCTTTAACTCTTGCATATTTCTCTGCAGATCCATCAGCATGGTCATGACCTTTATTTTGAATTCTTTTTCGGGGAAAGTCTATCTCCCCAGGCCCTCTCTTGGGGGTTGTCTGGGTGATTATGGACTAGACCAAATTCTTCTGCCTTCATGGTGATAGTGGTAGCTGTAGGCAGGTAGTGCATGTGTCAGCTGGGAGAACAAAGTCCTTTTCCTGCTTGCTGTTCGCCTTGCCCTTCTCCGCTGCCTGTGTCTGTCACTCGCACTCCTGGAGCAGCCTCCGGATTAATCCCCTAAGCTGCTGTGGGCAGGGTCTCTGTCAGGGTAGTGCAGAGCCCTGCAGGGAGTGCCAGGTGTGCTCTCCTGTGAGAGCAGTGGCCCTGGTGGCTGTGCGCCGGGAGCAGATTCTGGGGGTACGGCTGCTGCCGGCTCACACAGACCGCTCTGGTGCCGCTGCCAGTGTGTGTGGCCACTCTCCTGCTACTGGACCAGTGTGTCAGGGTCTGCGCCAGCTGGGGAACGACTGGCAGGCTGCTTATCACTGCGAGGGGCTTCAGAGCTGTGCTGCCCAGGGGATTAGGTTGCCTGGAGTTCCCCGGGATTCCCAGCTGCTGGGCTGAGTGTGCTGGGACGAGTTCAGCCAGCTGTGAGGTCCCTGTCCCTATAAGACTTTCACAAAGTGCTTGCTTTTCTTTTGTCCCAGGGAGCCAGCTGCAGGACTAGCTCGCAGAGTTTGCTTTTCTGTTTCTCTAATATCCAGCACACCATGCACTGTGTGTCTGTGTCCTGGTGCAGTTACTAGAGCTGGTTGTTTAGCAGTCCTGGGCTTTCACTCCCTCCCTGCTCTGACGCCTTTCTTCCTGCCAGGGAGCGGGGGTAGAGGGGGCACTCGGGTCTCACCATGGCTTGTATCTTACCCCCTTCGTGAGGTGCTGAGCTCTCACAGATGTAGATGTAGCCTGGCTGTTATACTGTATCCTCTGGTCTCTCTTTTAGTTGTATTTATTGTATTTTCAAAAATATGTATATTTTTGGGAGGAGATTTCCGCTGAACTACTCACGCAGCCATCCTGGCTCCTCCCATGGCTTTGTTTTTGTAAAAGGCTGAAACATAGCCACATTTAACCTTTGCCGTGAGATTGAAAATTTAAATCCTAATTCTACTTTTTCCTGAGGGCCAGGCACTTTGTGAAAATCTGTTATCTGAATTTTCTAAAGATTTGCGTGAACTTGAGTTTCAGACTTCTCAGGCAGTGGTGGTTTGAATCAATCCACTGCAGTATGATTTTTATCAACAAGAAAAACAGGGCTGAAGTACTCCTGTCCCTCAAGCCACTACTGTGCCAGCCCACTGGCCGGGCTCCCTTTTCAAAGTCAGTCCTTCTTGTGCTTTTATTCTGGGACCAACCAACCAGCCAAACTGATGGTGTTTCCTTTACTTCTGTTAAACCTAGAGGACTGGGGTGCTACTTTCTGCTTCATAGGCTTAAAACACGAAGGTCATTGTCAGTCTGCTGCAGGGCTGGGGGGCTTTGGCGGCAAGGGCATATGCATAGGGAGCTGACTGGTCTGTCGGGCAGGCATGTGGGGGGGCAGCCCCCCCCCATCTTCCACTTGACTTCAAGTGGGTACTCACCACTTGCTGCCATGGAGAGACGAGTGTTTACATCTCTGGTCTGTGCGATACCAGCGCCCACCATTGCAACCTGCAATGAAAAACGATGGCCACGGTAACAGCTTCTCCCAACACAGCGACTGGCCCAGAGTCAGCCAAGACTTCCACATAGATTAGCTTGATCCTCTTGACATCCTGGGGCAAGGTCCTATTTTTATCCCCATTTTCCAGAAGAAGAAACTAAGACTAAGAGGACTTTAATGACCAGTTGAAGGTCAGTGGAAAAAAACACCACAGCCAAATGGAAACCTACATTGGCACACGGCAAGCTTGTGATCTCACTAACAGTAGTGCAGTTACCCAACTACACACAATATTTTATAGAGCATAGGGCAGATTGTAGGGCAGACTGCACTCTTCAAATTCACTTAGGGTGAAACTGTCCTTAGCAACCTGTGAGGTGAGCGTACTAATATTTGGGATTTGGGTTTTGTTTTTCAGCCTCCATTGTGCTGCAGAAGTGGTGGTGCCACATGCATCCTTGTCTGGAAGGAGAGGACTGTAAGGTGCTGCCTGATGACTCAGGCTGGTCCTGTAGCAGTGGAAACAAAGTCAAAACCACCAAGGTGAGAACTGACAAAGCCCAGTCTGTGTCACAGCTGTCGCATGTTATTTACTAACTCTTTTTTCCTGCCAGTGTTTAGTGTGGTGTGGATGAATCTGCACAGGCTCTGCCACCCTTCCTGGTATCAGCCTCTATGTCAGGCTTTCTAGAGCAGTGATTTGGTGGATACCTGGGTATTTTAGGCAGGGCCACTAAATTAATTACAGCTCCTTTACAAGCCCAACTTAGAGCTGACAGGTCAGTGCACCTAAATAGCAGAGCAAAAATCCACATACAGGTGATTTCCTAAAGCAGAAATACCTACTGCCTGTCATCTAATGCTTGAAAACTCTATCCTGTCTTCCAAGTCTACCTGGTTCTTGAACCAGAAAGCTAACTTCTTCCTTCCCTCCCCTGTATCCCGTCCCATCTGTGGCACTCCTTGTACTTACAGTCCTGCTCCAGTCCACCTCATATCCACTCTCAGCCCCTGCTATTCTCCATATAATGATGCCAGCAATTTGTGTGAACTGTGCATCTTCCAAGCACATCCACCCCGACAGTCTTTCAGTGGCCTCTCCTGGCTCCTTGGTCCGCTAGCCTCAGCCTGGGTGGCCCTTACTACCCAATGTGGGCCACCACCTCCACTTCCTGCTTCCCTCCTGCATCTCTGAGCATTGACTGTGCTCACAGAGAGCTTGTGAAGTTGGCCTGAGCCCGTTTTCACTTTGCCCCAGAGCCAGCTGAATGTCTCAGTAACTGTTTCTTGAATGGGAATTAATGAACCAGGTCATTCTGGGATGATGAGAGTTAGACACGCTGGAACGGAGTGACTCTTGAGTTATGCTTGCTCTCTGAGCCAGGGCCCTGTAGGACGTTAAGTTTTCCATGGCCTCTCATCTTGCTTACATTTCCTACCTTAGTAATTCAAAGTAATGAGTTCTTTTCCTAAATGGGGGCATGAGATATTACAATAAACTGGATTTTATCAAATAGATATATAAATACAGTGATGTCATTGAGAAGGTATTGAAAACTTCAACTGAATGTCAATTTTAGCTGACAGTATCATACCCAGAATTACCAATAGTAAGTACACTAAATCAGTTGACTAGTTCCTTATTACCTTATTAATCTCAAAATCAAGACAATGTAATTATCATCTAACTGACTAGGACCAAGGACCTGATAGATGCTTTTCTATCCAGGGTGCTAGAAGTTCATGGGATTATTTCTTGGCGGAGGTGGGACGTTAACATTCCCATCTTTTCTACCAGCTTTCTCCCCTCCTCAGGTGCCCCCGAGCTCTGCAAACCCAAGTGTGGTTGCTAATAAGCAAAGCAGCCCTACGGATGCCTGTGACTGCACTGCCTTTTCCATCACCCCTGCTGTTAAGAGTTGCCAGTGAGCTCGGGTCTAGCATCCATCAGTGCTAAAAATTTTCTCTCACTGTATTTCTTATAGACTAAGAAATGATATTTCAGAAGATTACACTTGTACAGATTTTCCCATACCAGTGTAAAATGAGACCATGGCACAAGCCAGCTGAGTTCTGGGGAAGGATGTGTCTGGCTGCAGGGCCCCCTCTCTGTGGGGCTTGTGTGGGGAGCAGAACACTAGGGGCTTGGGGTGCGTGAGACAAGTTGTTCTAGGCAAGCCCTCAATGGTAGTACAATTCATTTGGTGCTTAGAAACGTAATACAGTTCCCATCATGATACTTAGCTGCTGTTTTTTAGTGACACGCCACTTGAGAATAATCTCCAAGTCATAAAACTTTGTTTCCTTTATTAATCCAAGTCAGTATGACTTGCAGTATGACTTGAACTGCATAAAACATTTTATGTCTTTTATGGATCTTATGCACAGAGAGTAAATTCATTTGTGGAGCTGTGACTGGCTTCCCTGAAGAGCTCAGTCTCTTAAAATTGACACTGACCTTATACCAGAGGTGAGACGGCGGATCCTCCCAAGGTAGAGCAGTTGCCTTCCCAAAAGGGTATTAACTGTGTAACAAAATGGTTTCCATTCTCCTTAAACAGTTCATGCACAGCAGCATCAAAATAGGGAAAGGCTATAAAAAGTAAGATTGTTTGCAGTAAGCCACCTATGTCAGAATTTTATTTTCCATTTAAATGCAAATATGAAGAGAGTTAGCAGTCGACTTAAGATATGGAAGTGGAGGGGCTAATTCCCTGACCAGTCACCTGGTCTCTTCCCAGTATGAAAGATGGGCATTGAGTTTATTCTGCCTGTAGGGTTTTCAGTGTCCCCAGAAACGGTGCAGCTACTGCTCCCTCTGGGAACACAGAACTCTGTGCCCACTAGATGTGCTCCGAGTTGTCAGGGTTAAGGCTGGTAGCAAGTGAGCCGCGTCCTTTAAGCACCAAAGTCGACTGTGTTCCAGGGTTTTGTTGACTTTTAAGACATTCTGGATTGTTAAAACACGTACTGAGGGCAAAAAGCTCTGTCTTTAGAGCAGTAGTTCTCAACCAGGGGCTACTTTTCATTGCCACACTCTGGTAGGTAAAGGCCAGGGATGCTGCTGACACATCCCGGAATGCACAGCAGAGCCCACAGCCCAGCTGCCCGATCCCAAAGGTTCTTAGGGCTCAGGTCAACAAACTCTGTGTCAGAGAGTTTCTTTCAGTAGCTCTTTGTAAGTGTCCTACCTGATTCTCTTACTTTGTTTCCAATATTTCATATTGGAATACTAGAGGGCAGACTTAAGAATATCAACAGCAGGCTGGTCAACACTTCCCTCTCCCTCCAGATCTCAGGGGGCTAGGTCATGCCTTTCACGCTGTCTCTCGGTCTGCCACCACAGGTCTTTCTCTTTTGCAACCGTGTTAAAATAATGTTATCAGTGGCGACAGAAAACTCACCCTGGGGACTTGTTGACAACCCACAGTCTGAGCAATCCCCAGGGTACGGTGGTAGAGGAAGTCTGGGATGGGGGCTAGGGAGCCGGACCCAAGGTTGTTCCTGAGGTCATTCTGATGGCAAGCAGTGCCCCCAGGGCTCGCTCCTGCCTGGGCGCCTCCCTGACAAGAGACCATCAGCAGCCCCCCCACTGCTCTCACCTGCGCCTCCTCCCTTTGCTGAACGTCCACTTGGCTCCTTGACTCTGAAGTCCTGTCTCTGTCTTCCCCGATTCCTGCAGCTAGAACTTGAAACACTCAGGACACCTTGCCGCATGAGAGCACAGCTAATACTGGCAGGTTAGCAACCGTGCATCCACCGAAATGCCACAGCAACAGCAGACCTTCCGTACACACACCACTAACACTTTACAGGAAAGTAAGTCCAGTGTCTCATCCAGAATGAGCTGAGCAGAGAGTGAGACTGACGTCTTAGCTGGGGGTTGGTCCTGGGCCGGACGCAGTCCCGGGTGTGTACCATAGATGCACAACCGACCCAGACAATACAGGACAATAGCCACCATTTCCTGAGTGGCGACCTTGTGACAGGCACTGGGCCACACAACTCACTCATCACTACAACTGAGGAGACAGGTGCTGCTTTTACAGTTAGGGGAAGAAGCTCCGGCTGAGAGTGCCCGTCCTCTGCCTCCCGGAGAATGACCGGCGCCCCCGCTGTCACAGCCTCGCCTGTCCTCACCCTGGCCGTGCACCCCTCGCCTCATCTTTGTCCCTCTGTCCGAGGAAGGCCCTTGCGCGGGTAGCCAGGGCTCCCTCCAGTGTCTCTTCAGCTCCTTCCTTGACATCCCCTATAAAACCAGGGCCTTCTACCCTCCACGCCCCAGGATTCCCCTTCTCCACAGCATGGGTCACCTTCTCCCTTGCTGTTTATTCACCTGTTTGGAGTAGGAGTCAGCAAGCTGTGGCTTAGAAGCCAGACCCAGCCCTTGACCGGACTTGCTATGGCCTGTAACCTGAGAGTGGGTTATGCATTTTATAAATGGTGGAAGAAAATGCAAATTACATGAAATCCAGATTTCAGCATCTGTCAGTAAAGTTTCCGTGAACGAGGCCATGCCTGCTAGTTTCTGTATCGTGTTGTCTAGGCTGCTCTCGGGCTGTAGAGGCAGAGCCGAACAGCTGGCTGATGCAAAGCTGAACGTTTTTACTGTCTGGTGAAAAAGTGTGACAGGCACTATTCTAGGTAAGCTTTGTGAAGACAAATTGTGGGTTGTACTTGCTGCTATAGTATCCACAACACAAACCCCCAGCAGTTACGTTACAGCAGAATATACACATAAAGGCCAAATGCCAGTTACTAGGGAATCTGAGATGCCTTGACTATAGATGAATTCAGGTAATGTAATTTACTTACAAACTATCTTCATGGTGTAGGAATGTTAAAGTCTTAATTAAGCTTTTTCCCCTCCTCTAGCTGGCATATTGATTATCTGACCTGTAAAATTTCTCACATGACCAAATAAAAATCTAGAAATTGCAGGCCTAAGTGCCAAGTCTGGGTGTTTAAAAGTCGGGGGAGAAACAGCAAACTCTTAATAGATGCATGTTTCCAGTAATACAGCAGTTTTATGAAATAACCTACTTTTAGAATGAAAGTTAACTATATTGAAAGACTGACAAAGGCAACATTTTGCCCTTGACATGCACCGATACAAACAGACATTCAGCGGAAAGCATTTTAGCCCCACGAACAAAGCAGGCTCAGCGTGCATGAGGTACCTTGATGGGTACTAAGGATGCTGAGCTGAGGAGATTTTTAGTGCTCCACAAAATACAAAGCCAGGGCACTTAATGCCATGTTGTGGAGGCCCTTGTGCATGTTCTCTTTGCAGCCTCAAGCAAGATGGGTGACGATTTGAAGTTCGTTTGGTGAGGTTGGTTACAGATAAATGTGCAAACCACTGAACTACATGGATGATACAGCTGGGTTTTTACAGGTCTGGTAGCAGGAAAGATTACCTTTGGTGGGTATGGGGTGCTAAATGCTCACCTGTTTGTTTTAGGTAACTCGGTAGCAAAAAGATGTGCTTCGGCCCCGCAGGAGTGACAGGATGCAGAGCTCCCTTGTTGGAAATTTCAGCAACACCAGTCTGCGTAAGTGTGCCGCGAGGAATGGCACTCACTGGACCGGCCTGCCCTCGCTGCATCACAGCCCCTGGCTACCACACAACTGACATCCTCTGGCTCCCAAGGACACCCCAGAGACTTCAGAATGGATCCCCACCCGGGCGTCAGTTTCCGGCTGCCTCTACAATGGAATGTGGGCACGTATTTCAGAGGGGCCTCGTTCTGTTCCTCGTTTCCTTTACCCTTGGCATTAAAGAGGCTCGCAAGGAGTCTTAAGTAACCAAACCTTTTGGCAAAACATATTTGCAGCTATAGATTAAGGAACTCTGATTAACTGGTGAAGAAAATGTATTTTATAAAACTTAAAGGACAGAAGGACTCATTAGGGTCACTGTGTGTGTGCACTTGTGTTTTTGCTTTTGATGATTTAATTGGTGCATCTTGAGTTCCATTGTCAGGGTGGCAGAAATGAAATGGGGGCCCCAGGACTTCACACCGTTTCACCGAGGGCTAAGGAAGCGCATGAGCTCCCATATTTTATAACCAAAGCTCCATCATGACATATTCACAGAAGGAATAAAGCCTGTGGGGATTTTTACGGCTTATGTATAGTCAGACGTAAATCATTTAAAATATAAAACAGGATGATTTCTTAGATCCAGTTTATGTCAATTATATTAAAATATTTTGTTGACTCCTAGACAGGAAGGAGTCTTGAATGCTGAATTTTTAGACTGTAAATTATTTATTCTGAACTTAGCTCTTGACCAACCTATTTTGTTGGTCATTTTATTTCTTTGAATTTTGAGTAAAATCTCATTTTTTTCTTGGTTTACTGGTTTTTGGAGCAAATATGTCTCTACATATTCTCAGATGCTGTCAGGCAGAAAAATACTAGATGAAAAGCAACTGACCCAGATTTTAAATGCATAATGTTATTGGAACACACACTACTATAACAATGTGGGGTAGATTTTATATGTTAAGAAATGCCAAAAGCATACTTTCTTCACTGTTAATTATCCCTTTTCTTTCACAATCATAGGAAAAATATTACTATAATGTTTATAGTAGTAACAATTACATCTATTTGATTTTATTCTTGGAAAAGGAATGGAAACAAGTGATACTCATTTGTTTGCTGAATTTGACTAAATGCTTACCACAATTGTTACTCTCATATTAGCAAGTAAAAAATTCATTCTTGATGGTGTGTGGCATGTAAGTTTTTGCGATTATTTTACTGTTTCAAGGCCTTGTGTTAAACATTTAAAAAAATTTGCAAGCCTAGAATGTTATTTTGGGGGATGTGAATTATAATGGCAAACTTGAGAAGTAGATATTTATGTATCATGGAGAATTGAAAATCTAGGGAGGTTTATTTATGTTTAGGCACATTTAAGATGTTGTATGCATGCTGTACTGCCTTTACTGTAACACTTCCTGTTATAAGTATAGAGCCCCATTTCAAACTATACAGCAACGCTACAGCAGTCAGAACAGTATTATACTGGCATGAGAACAGATATATAGGCCAATGGAACAACATAGAAACCCACGCCTGCATGGTCAATTAATATATATGACAAAATAAGGAAGAATACAGGGAAAAAGCAGTCTTATTCAGTAAATGGTGTTGAGAAAACTGGATAGCTACATTAAAAAAAAGTGAAACTGGATCACTATCTTACACCATACACAAAAGTAGACTCAAATGTAAGACCTGAAGCCATAAATCTCTGAGAAGAAAACATGTGCAGTAAACTCCTGAACATCAGCATTAGTCATTTTAATTCTAGCTATGTCCTCCCAGGCAAGGGAAAGCAAAGCAAAAATAAATAAGTGGGGCTACGTCAAACTAAAAAGCTTCTGCACAGCAAAGGATACCATCAACAAAGTGAAAAGGCACCCACTGTATGGGAGATTATAGCTGCAAGTGATACATCTTGTAAGGGGTTAATATTGAAAATATATAAGGGACTCATACAACTTGACACCAAAAACCCAAATAACCCAATAACAAACTGGGCAGAAGACCTGAAGAGACATTTTTCCAAAGATGACACACAGCTGGCGAACAGACACATGAGAGGATGCTGAGTATCACTGACCATCAGGGAAGCACAATCAAAACCACAACGAGGGATCACCTCACACCAGTCAGAATGGTCACGATCCAAAAGACAAGAAATAACAAGTGCTGGTGAGGATGTGGAGAAAAGGGAACCCTTGTACACTGGGAATGTAAATTGGTGCAGCCACCACAGAAAAATAGTATGGAGGTTTCAAGGTTTCTGAAGAAACTAAACATAGAGATACCATACGACCCAGCAGTTCCACTTCTGGGAATCTACCCAAAGAAAGCAAAATTACTAACCCCCAAATATGTAAGCAGCCTATGCTTATTGCATCATTATTTACAATAGCCAAAATATGGAAGCAACCTAAATGTCCACCAATAAGTTAATGGATAAAGAATGGGTAAATACGTACACACACAATGGAATATTAGCCATAAAAAAGAAATCCGGCCATTTGCAACAACATGGATGGACCTAAAGGGAATTATGCCAAATGAAATAAATCTCAGAGACAAATATCACATGATTTCACTTACATGTAGAATCTAAAAAGAACAAAAATGAGCCAACAAAAATGAAATACTCATAATCAGAGAGGCCAGACTGGTGGTTGCCATGGGGGTGAGAGGTGGAGGGATGGGTGAAAAGGTAAAGGGAAAACATTACTGAGAATGTTTATTATCCTGATTGAGGTGATGGTTACATGAGTGTGTACACATGTCGGAATTCATGAAACTCTGAACTAAGAGTTGTGCTTTTTATTGTACATTTCTCAGTATAAAAAAAGTAGATTTTATGGCACATGAAACCCTATCTTAATATTTTACCCAGATGTCTGTTCTTGTACCCCAAATAAGATCAAGTGAAAAATGACATTGCTTTACCTTGAGGTCCATTTCTTGGGTGTAAACTATTCTGGGGAATAAATGGTCCATTTGGGAAAATGACAGATAGCAAAGCTGCCATTTCCTCCATTATTGCTGCAAAGTATACTTTTTATCTGATACAAAAGTTAGCCCTGAAATGGGTTTCTTTGAGAAGCATTTTAATGTTGTGATTCCTATTTATTCCCTGTACAGAAGTAGATCAGACTGTTTTCTGTATTTCCCAGAATTTATAGGAAAGATACCAGGACACTCATGAGACGATTCTTGTCTTAAAGCACAAGCTGCCCAGCAGGCGCTGTGGACTGGGCCTGGGTCTTTGCAAGAGGACCTCCTAGTTAAGCTCTCCCTCCAGTCCAGATTTGCTGCTCTGAACCATATACCCCTTTTCAGCACTGGCTTTTGGCAAAATAGAATTTTGTTTCTACATTAAATTCAACAAACACTTAAATAACCTTCCCAAGACCTCCCTGAGATGTTGGGGTTATTATCAATCTTTATACACACAAGTACATTTTTCTTCTAAACCTGGGAGGTCTTTATCAACATTCCCATTTTATAAGAAGAGAATCTAGGACCCAATAAAATTAAACTTGCCCAAACTCACACAGGTAGTTACTATTGGAAATTATGCAATGAGGAGTCATGGGAAAAGACAAAGTTACAGATCTATTTTTGAGTACTTTGTAAATTACATATACCACCTTGTGTTCAACGTGTCGTGGAGATGGACTAGCCTTAGAATCTGGCTAGTGTCTGACCTGCTCTATCAGGGTCAGATTGATTTCTGTCCAGCACCTGCCCTCTTTGCCACTATCTTACAGTGTGCCAATAATACACCAACAAAAAATGTCATGCTGGGAGCATTTTTAAATAGGGTAAAATATATTCACTGTTGAGTTTAATGGAGATCATTGGCCTGCTCAGTGGTTGGACATGGACTATAAGCAGGTTTATGTACAGCACTGCATATGTGGGCAGCACAGCAGCCCTTCTCCAAGGCATCTTCGGTGAGGAAAGAGCCAGCCCCGCATGTTCGGGGGGTTTCCGAGTCTTTGAAGGAGATGCTGTGGCAACACTGAGCCCTTGTAGGTCCCTGTCAGCACTCCTGGATGGAAAGGAGGCGGCGGCCCCTTCGACGGGCATGCACGCCCTGGGCCTGCCACGTGGCTGCTGGGACAGCTCACCTCGTTTGAGTTTTTACCCATACTGTAGAATTTCTGGAAGGGCTTTGTTGGTGAACAAGATGGGATGGTGACCCCTGAAAGTGTCAGTGGAAACAACTTCACCAAAATGCCTACATCATAGTTAAATTCTCCAGCATTGGAAAATGTTTCTGTCCAAGATGCTCTGTGATGGGATCTCAGGGACCCAGGGGCCAAAGATGAATTCAGGGCTGAATCGCTTCACCATTTAGGGTCCCTCCGGAATGCACAAAGCATTATTAAGTGGTTGTACCCACAGCATGGGGATTCTTCTACCCTAGGGGTTTGGGAAACTGCAGCTGTAGCTCAAAACCAGCCTGCCTATCATTATAAATAAAGCTTTATTGGAACACAACACTGGTGTTTGTTCATGCGTCACCTTGGCTGCTTCTGCAATACCGCAGAGTGGATTAGTTACCACAGAGCCCGCACGGCTCACAAAACCTACAGCAATTACTCTTCAGACCTTCATGGAAAAGTTTGCCAATTCCTTTCTGCCCAGTGGAAGAACGTGATGTTTCGTGCATTCATTAGAACACAATAATATAGCGGCATAGAGTTCAGGCACTGGAGCACACATGTTAAAGCTTGGATGTTGGCTCTCCTGCTAACCTTTCACAATGTTCACTCTGTAAGTTTCAGTTTCTTTGTCTGTACAATGGGAGCAATGATATATTGATCTCTCAGGAGTATTTTTTAAGATACTGTATCAACAGACTCTTAGCATCATGATGAGCAAATAAGCCCTGAGAAGTTTGTGCCTCCCATGAGTAATTCATAGTCCAAGTATCCACCTCACACAAAACGAGAACCAAACAGCAGGCCCGTGCCTCAAAACTGGGACACAGGGTTTAGGTGGGCACGACTGATGGACAGCTGGGAGCCGGTAAGACTAGGCCATCGAGTGCATGCTGCTGGCAAGTCAGTGAGACCTTGGAGAAAGCACAGCAAAGGCAAAACAGGAAACAACTCAGGGACCATTGCTTCCCTTTGACCTTGGCTGTCAATCCAGTAGAATATTCAAAATGCTTGTGCTTCTAGATGGACAGGGGAATGAATGTCTTGGGCCAGTAACACCTAATCTGTGGAAGTGGGAGCACCACTGGAAAGAAAGACCTAGCACATGGGCATCCTGATTTCAGTCTGCGACCCGAGAGGACAGGCGCAGCACATACACAGAAACACCATGCTCTCAAGTTCATCTTAAAGTGATCTAGTAAACAGAAACGCTGAACAAAAGAGCCCTGTGAATAATTGAACAGTTACTGAAGCATGTTGGGCGGTCTTTGTGGTATTGATTTTGGGGCCGTGAACAAAGCACAGCTCTGCAAGCTCAGACTTTAGTCCTTTTCTCTCCTATTTGGGCCCATCGATATTCACAGCCCGTTTCCACGCCAGGGATGTGCAGTGACACTTCTTTCATGTTGCTCATTTGGGCCTTCCTTTGCTCTCCGTGGATAGGGCCTCTGACCTGTCCTTTAATTATCAGCTTTGATTCTCTTAATGAGGAGTTATCAAAATGGTTTAGGACACTGAATTTTTAATTGAATAACTGTAATTAATGATCAAGGAATGGAAGCAGGCAAATGAACTCTGGTCCTCTACTTCCAGGTACGGAACCCTACTCTCCGCACTTCGTTCAGCTGGAGTCTCTGAACTTCCCTGCCCTCTTTTTGAATTGCTTCCTCACCCTTGCTTTGCTACATATATTAAGTTCAAAGATTCAGGGTTTTATAGACCATTCACAGACATCATAGAAAATAAAATCATGCCCGTGCTATTTTAGCATTGCAATAGCTGAAAAGAAAACATGAATAATCCATAGTTTCTCTCTCAAACACTCTCTCACACACAAATCAATAGAGCAGAATGCTTAGGTCAGCTCAGTGGGGCAGGGGTTGAAACAGGAATCAGAACGATACTTTGGAATATTTAAATATTTATGAGTGCTATGTATCTGACAAAAGACTGAAGCAGATTCTTAACGCCACAGCAAAGAAATGGGAGAACCACCACTACGTCTCTGCTTGAGAAAAAG